GGGCAACTCAACCAGGTGACCCAAATCGTATCCACGTTTGTCCACGTTTTGTCTATTTGGGTCGGCAAGACTGTTAATGGACAAACGGACATGCGTTTTGTACGCAATGGTGCTACCCATTTGGGATGTGCCCGCCCGGGCATTTCGTTGAACATGTAGTGAACGCGGCGAGCGAAGCAGGTGCGTTGTGCGGCTAGCAGAGCGCGTTCAAGGCGAGGTCTAGCCACCATCCGCCGGAGCTAGCTAGCTCGCGTGGGGTGCCATGCACGGGCCAAGCACCTACCATCCAGCATAGCTAGCTAGCTCGCGTGGACGGGAGCACGGCGGGCGCGTGCTCCTTGAGCTGGACGAGCATGGCGGGTGCATGCTCCTCGAGCTGGACGCGTGCTCCTCGGGCAGGAAGTAGGCAGAAGGCTCCCGAGCTCCAACGGACGGAGACCCAACGCGTCGATCCTGCCCCGTGCTCCAACATGCGTCATGGCTGTGTTGGGTGGGAGCTTCCTGACGGAGGAGCGGCGGCGCCTGCGCAGTGCCAGCGCGGCCTCGAGCAGCACCAGCTCGTCCCCGACCGCACCAATGAGCAGGCCAAACCGCAGAAGTGCCTAGTTGATGCTGCTGCAGCCCCGGCTTTACATTCAAAAAGGTCAGATGCTTACTATGAAGTGTAACTGTTGAGCACGCTAGTTATTGGTAGCAGGGACGAAGACATTTCTGTTCAAAGTGTCATACGAGGTCAAAATAATTATATACATGCTATGTAACGTTTTGTACTATCTAGGGAAGTGTGGCTCTTCCCCGGGCCCTGCGCAAGCGAAAGATATGTGCATCAGGCTGCCTTTTTTTATGTAATACCCTGGTACATGGGTTGTGGATGATGTTACCTCATTGCTAATGTACTGATCCACACTTTCCACCCCTTGAAGCATATTGATAATTTCCTTCATTGTAGGTCTTTTTGTCCGCTCAGGGTTCACGCAGATTAGACCTATCTGAATGCATCTTTTTATTTGCTCACAATCTTTATCTAGTGAGTTCAGTCTTGGTTCTTCTTGCAGCACAGTTCTCCATTTTTGAAGTTCCTGTGAACATCAAAACAAAATCTGGAATATTACTATACAATGGTAAATTGTCACATGGTCTCAATGAAAGGGGCCTCCATCTTTAGTGTACAAATTAGTTTGTCTTACAGTCTGGATGAAGTCCTCGGAGAATTTTCTAATATCATACGGATAGTTCCTGTGTCCCGTAATTACCTCCAAGATTACTACACCCAAACTGAATATGTCGGACTTCGGCGTGATTATACCTCGAAAGTATTCTGGTGAGATGTAACCTCTGCATTGTAACACGATTATGAAGTAATGGTAGGATAAATGTAAAGAAAATAAATTCTGTTGATTACCACACAAGCAATTGATTATCAGCAGGCGCTCACTTACAGTGTTCCAATAGTATGTTTAGTCGAAATAGTTAGTTTCTTATCAAATAGTCTTGACAGACCAAAGGCTGCAATTTTTGGTAACATATTTTCATCAAGCAATATGTTCGCAGGTTTTATGTCCAAGTGAACGATGGGACCATCAGATTGCTCATGAAGGTACCGTAGACCAAGGCAAACACCCTCAATTATATTCCACCGTGTGCGCCAATCATGTTTAGAAAATTCATCTGCATTTACAAATATAAGATGAGCATTTTATATAAGTTATCTTGAAAAATATTGTTTTTCTGCTCTATGCATAGAGTTACTGCAGAATTTTCTATTTATATTCTCCTTTGTGATTCATAAGAACACAGTTTTTATGAGCAATGAGCAAACCATGGAACTAGCAATCCCAAATAAAGTTGAAAATTTTAGGGAAGCAAGATTTGGTCCTTATCTAAATCTCATACCTGAAATATACTTATGAAGACATCCATTGGGCAAGAATTCCAAGCAAAGCAAACTTTCAGTGTTCTCAGCAAAAACATATTTTCCTTCATGAGGCGTATGCAAATGTTGTGTTTCACAGCAGTAGCCTAGAAGTCGCACTATATTTGGGTGCTCCAGTTTCATAAGAAGATTAGCCTCGTTCTCAAATTGCTTCTGTGAGCTGGGCTCTGCCTGCACAAACTTCTTTACCGCAACCACTGTCCCATTTTGTAGCACTCCCTGTTTTATGTCTCTTAGTAATATGTATGTATGGGTTTTTGGGTTAAGTATGGTTACATACTTGAGAAATCATAAACATATATGGTTTGATCTTACCTTATATACCACACCAAAACCACCTCTACCAAGTACTCTCTCATTACAGAAGTTATTTGTGATGTCCTTCAAATGTTGTAATGGCAGATGGTATTGTTTGGATTCGGTCTCTTCCAATGACGCATGGCGTGGCTCGGATTCCATATGTTCCAGTGACACATGGTTTGCTTCAGAAATCATCTCCATCTGCATGCACACATAACTCACTGGATTAATTGAGGACTACATTTTAATCTACTTCCTCCGTCTCAAAATAAGTGACTCAACTTTGTACTAACTTTGTCCCAAAATAAGTGACTCAACTTTGTACTCCCTTTGTGTCAAAAAACGTCTTACATTATGGGACGGAGGGAGTACTAACTTTGTACAAAGTTAGTACAAAGACGAGTGACTTATTTTGGGACGGAAGGATTATTTTGATTAGCACTTGTGGGAAACCTTCCTTTTTTTTGCAAAGTAAGACTACATTGTGGAAAGAACCTAAAACTAGACAATGCAACGAAGTAAATATGCTCTCAACTTTCAAGAGATTAAATGCAAAGTAGAAAACATAGAATTTAGTTAACAAACTCACTTCCATCTAGAAAGATTTGATAATCTCACCTTAGGCGTTGTGTCTCCAGTATATTGACTCGTATCTGCACTTAACTGCTCCTCACTATAATCTGTTGACTGCTCACTATCGATATCCATAATTGCTATTGAGTTTTCTTTCCCAATGACAACCCTGATATATATTAGGTACGTACCCATATAATATTATAATAAGTTTGGCATAAATAAATAGGAAGCATGGAAATATACATTATTACACATTACAGAAAAACATGAAAATATACCTTCCCATCGCACACACGAGGTGGTAGACAGCTCCAACACAACCAATCTTGATTATCCCCTTAAGCGTGGGTGGGCATGAGTACATGCTATGGGAATTTATTTTATCAGATAGTAGAATGGAAATCCATGTATGATCTACTCCCTCCGTCCCATAATGTAAGATGTTTTTTCGCACTAGTGTAATGTCAAAAAACGTCTTACATTATGAGACGGATGGAGTAGTACATTCGGTTCAACAACAATTGTTGACTAACTAGCGCCTATATAAGCAAATGGTTGTCTTGTCTAATGTGTGTGCTTGGGAAGTACGCCAGATATAGTTAATACATTTCAAATTACCTGCAATCTGTTGTGCTCCACAAATAAATAGCGCCATCTTCTGAACCTGTAATTAGAGTCTGACGATTGGGTTGGTACAGAACTGATGTTACAGGTGATACGGAAGCTTCAAGTGTATATGCACATATCTTGTCCTGCAAGTACCATATCTGATTTGGAAAAACAATCAGGTGCACATTATGAAAACTGCTATATATTAATATATACATGTACTACATTAGCATATGCCGCCATACAATCAGGAGCGAGAGAGAGAGAGAGAGAGAGAGAGAGAGAGAGAGAGAGAGAGAGAGAGAGAGACCTTTACAGTGTAGTCACCCTTTAAACTCGTTGAAACATCGCCCATGCCGCCATATTTGCTATCTGTGTAATAATCTATCTGTAAACTTGTTGAAGCACTAGCAAAAATGTCATTTGGGTTAAATGTGACAATTGTCCCGATATCTTCATATTCATATGTCTGTATGCACTCCCAGCCCTTGTCCCAGTCCCAAAGTTTAATGTATCTACCCGCTGACAGCAAATATGGCCTGGTTGGATGAATGGCCAGTGACACTAATTCTTCATGGTCACTAACAATTCTGAAACTTGTTATCTTTTTCATCTTTTCATAGTTGTAAACATGGATACAATTTTTTGTTACAGCAACAATCCATTGCTTTCTTGAAATAAATTTAACGCAGCTAACTGCAGTCAGGCGGGACCTTGCATAGCTTGTTTTGATTTAATTGAATCCACTTTTCTCTGACAGCATAAAGGAACTAATATTAGTCAATGGAGACGAAAGCATGGCATATATCCGCACCGATAGGCATCAATAATCTTTATCATAAAAAACAACACAACACTAGTACGTGCCTGTGTCTGGTAGTCCCAAATACCAACATTTCCATTCTCATCTCCCACTATTATCCTGCCACAAATAAATCATGAATTTATAAGCACAAAGAATATACGTGAAACATGCCATATGCTTAAACAAGAAAAAAAACTAATTCCATCCGTGTGCTCAGTGCCTCAGTCACAAATAAGGTCCCATGCCCAATGAAACTACGGACTTGTTAGGGGTTCATTCCGGAGCTACATAACACTGGAGAGCATGGTTTCGTCGCATTTTGAAATATCAATCAAAATTTCACTTAATTTCTTTTCATAAATATTGAGTTGGAGATGCTAGACGAATATCCATCAAGAAAATACAATTCATCTTGACTTCTCCATATTAATGCCTATAGATGTTCTATGTAGAAAGACTGCACTCACCATTGCTTGGCCTGGTTTATGTCCAAGGAATACATGTGGAAGAATTCTACCTTGCATATTATCTGATTCAGTAACACGTTAACATCTGGCCGAGGATCTCCTTGGAGTTTTACGGCACAAAAATCATAAACCAGAAAGAGAAGATAGAATTCATACCTTGATTGTGGGCGACATTGGCTGCAAAATATATGACCATGCGTGCATGCGTGTAAGCACAGTCCAGAACCACCAGCACAAAATGCATGTTAAGAAAACAAAAAAGGTGAAGTAACATTTAGAGTAGAGTATCAACCTTTCAATCTAAGTGAGAGTAACCATTATCTATCCATCTTCCATAATATTAATTGTGATAACAAGAATGGCGGAGATTTGCTCATCTTTGATTCGTTTCCACCTGATCACTTGATAGAAATACTGAAGTCCTATAATGTTCCCTAAAGATGCACTTCTGAACATTTATTTGTATATTTTGAATGACATATCATTGGTAATGTGATGATGAACTGCAGTAACTAAGAATTTTCATGGGGAAACAAAGTGATTGAGAAACAATGGCAAATATTCTATTTGCATGGTGTACTTCTAGTTGTCATAATATTTTCAATATTTTTATATGTATACAGTAGGTCTTTTAATACACTTATGTTAAAATAAAATTATGCCAGTACATATATGCAACAACTATTAAGACAAACTGTCCAGATGTGCGGGTCACCTTGCTAGTTCATCATATTTATACTGATATAGTAATATGTTACCTTAGACAATAATGTTGTGATGTGTCCTGGCAGAGTATAAGTTGCTTTCAGTTTCACCTCTTGCACTGCATTCCCCATCTCTTGGAAAAAAATTTCTGACTGGCTTCGTAAAGTGTTTATATGTTCATCATCCCCTAATATTAATGTAGCACTGTGGAGGATCACATCTATGATATACTTTTGTGGCAGTTCTTCGTTAACTTGTGTTGTCACAATGAGAGTGTAAGGGGTGTTAGGCGGCACAAGGCCATACATTGGCAGTAATAGGAAGGAGGACTTAATGCTCTTTTCCATAAGCCTAAATGCAACGTGTTTATCAGTGTTGTTTGTCAGCTGCAGCGGACACAAGACAACCTTGTTGGGCTTGAAGGGAAAGCAAAGCGCGGACTGGTGAAGGAGAAGAAGCTCGCTTGTCCCAACTTCTGGGATTACATGCGTACTAAATTCTGTTTCTAAAAGCCTCTCAATTATATGCTTCATACTTGCTGGTCTTTTGGCTGGGTCCAAGTTGGTGCACTCAAGTGCAATCTCAGTGCATACCTGTATTTGTTCCCACTGTTCTATGTCCAATATACGATTAGTCCAACCTTCAAGCACCTTCAAAATTGAAATCATGAACACTATATCAAATCGACCAGCCTATTTGAGTGGAAACTGAATGTTAATGCGTAAGAATGTTGTTGAAAAAATTCGTAAGTCGTTCTCACTTCCTCAACAGCTTGATACCCCTTCCATCCAGTCAACATCTCTGTAATAATAACCCCAAGACTGTATATGTCTAACTTATGTGTGACTTGATAGTTGGAGAAGTACTCCGGTGCCAAATATCCACTGAAAATACATATTCTCTAATCAATTAGTATATGAAGTTTGAGTGCAATATAAAAAACATTATAGCTGAATATGTTAAACATTCAGCTTTTAACAGGCTTCCGTTGCCTTACATCATTCCGCCAATGTTTCTAGTAATGACTCGTGTTTGGTCATCCTCAAAACACCTTGATAGTCCGAAATCAGTAATTTTCGGCATCATATCTTCGTCCAACAATATATTTCCTGGTTTTAGATCCAAGTGGAGAATAGAATTTTGATGAAGATAATATAACCCCTCACAGATGCCCTTAATTATGTTGTAGCGGGTTCTCCATTCAAGTCCACTGGTTGGATCTACAAATGGCAGATGAGAAACGGGACTTCATTTAGTATATATTTCAGATAATTAGTAGGTTGAACCAACCAAGATATATATTACATGATAATTTATTTCAGCTATATGCTTGAGTAGGATGAACCAACCAAGATACCATATATTACACGATAAATTATTTCAGCTATATGCTTGAGTAGGTTGAACCAGCCAAGATACCATATATTACACGATAAATTATTTCAGCTATGTGCTTGAGTAGGTTGAACCAACCAAGTAATATCCAGTACAGAAAATTAAGATGGAAACATTAACATACCTGTGATGTACTTATCAAGACTTCCGTGCTGTAGACACTCGAAGCAGAGCAACCTTTGTTGTACATCTGCCATAACAAACTTCCCATCGTAGCTTCCTATATTTCCTTTTGTCTCGGCACAATATCCTAGAAAACGTACGACATTTTTGTGCTTCACCATCATGAGACATTCCACCTCCCGGTGGAATTCGATCTCAAGCATCTGCTTATAATTATACAACCTCTTTACAGCGACGACACTGTTAGCAAGTCTTGCCTGCAGCCGCAGATCATGAATGAGTTTTACTTTGAGATAAATTCAGAGTTAGTGGACTGAGAGAGCTTTGAGTGTACCTTATAAACCACCGCGAAGGCACCTCTTCCAATTTCCAGGTCATCAGAGAAACCATTCGTGATGTCCTCCAAAAGTGAGAGTGGCAGGGCCTTTGGCGCTGCGGCTTCATCAAATAGCATGCATTCCAGGTCACCTCTTGTGATACTGGTACTAGCTAGAAGATCCATTTGCACTCCGGTAATGCTCCACAGTACTTATCCTAGTTGAAACAAGAGCACTTTCCTGCTAGAAGATCCATTTGGACAGTGAAAGTAGTACATATTACAACCGGACCGAAAAGTAACACGAAACAGCAAGCAAGCCCGTTGACTTTATACATAGGACCTCGAGCAAAGAAATAGAAACGCGATCGGGTCCTCCACCTCCGCCGCCGGGGACAGCGGCACCTAGGGAACGTCGTGGCTGCTATAGCCGCTACCCACTGTCACTGATTGGAAGCAGAGCTGCCTCCCTCCCTTCAGGCTTCTTGGCCGGGAGGAAAAGATAAGGCTGTGCCGTTGAGCCAGAGAAATCGCCGATGAGTCAAGAGGAGGCCGCCCATCGACGGCTTTCCTGCGGGCAGCGTTGCTCCTCGTCGACGGAAGAGACCGCCCATCGACCACCTTTCAGCGGGCGGTGTAGCTCCTCAAAGAATATCGACCATGATAAGGGCGTTGCTCCAAGAGGTTGCCTCTAGCAGCACGGTGGCCAATAGCCAGATGAACATCCAATTTCAGACCGAGCACACCCAGCTTATTCCGCGACCGGAGCTCCGGCAAACCATACCGCAGACCAGCTCGCAAAACGAACAAGGAGTGACGCCAGATCTGATTTGTTCACACAAGAAACAAAAAAAAAAACTACGGACACAGCCTTCTCCGGCCGGCGATGCCGGCGGAGGAGAGAGAGAACAGGAGAGGAGAGACAATTTTAGCATGCAGCCTAATTAAACACGGGCAAGCAAATAGCTAGTGCTGAAAAGAAAATTCAGTGGCGATTACCTGGCTGCAGATCAAAGCTCTGCTGCCTCTTAGCTAGTGTTTTGAAGCAGTATAAGCAGGGTGGGTGAGGGGTTGTGGGGGGTGTGAGGTAGAGATCTGCGTCCAAACATCAATACCTTACACGCCTGATGAGAGCTTAGTCATGTGGGTATGAATATGTTTAATGACACACAAAGTTCCTTTGTAGCTCGTCCTACATGGAACCTCTTATCTTCAGCCCTTCAACATTGCTTTGAGATCCGTACTCTTCAACTAACTTGCAACAAGCAGATTTCTCTTTCTTGTTTCTCTCAAATGAAAGAACATATGGACTTCAAACTTTCCAGATCAAACAAACTTTACAACTTCAATGTGTGAAAAAACTTTCAGATTTTTTGGACCAACATAAATATACAAAATGTGAATTTTTTGATTAAAAAAATAAATTTTAGCATTTTAAATGCATGAAAAAATCTGAAAGTTTTTTCCCACGTAGTAATTAGAATGTTTTGTTGTCCTGCAAAGTGTGAAGTTTATACGTTGTTTCGTTTGAGAGAAACAAAAATGACAAATGTGCCTGCACGGATCTTGATGCCAAAATGGATGGCTAAGATAAGGGGTACCGTGTAGCTCCAGCTACACAAAACCAAATGTGCCTGCAGCCCACCAAGGCACCAATGTACGGCTAAGCATCCCTTCAGTTATACTACTCCCTTCGTCCCAAAATTCTTGTCTTAGATTTGTCTAGACAAATCTAAGACAAGAAATTTCGGACGGAGGGAGTATAAAAAAACGCGTCATGTCAGTACCACAGGTGGAAAACATTTGGGAAATTGTTTAATTAAACCGACTGATCTTTCTGTATCGTCAGTGGGGCACGTGACGGCAAATTTTCGTGTTTTGACCCTTTTGTTAGGGTTTAACCGGATCTGGCCCTGGTTTGATTTTTTGTTTTTTTTACATTTGACCTTTTTCCCACCACCAGGGATATTGCAGTAGGATTGCATAGCCTACCGCCGCAACCTTTGACGGTGGGGTAACGGCAGCCGCCGTCAAGCCAACTGCCACATGCGACGGCGGTAAGGTGTGCAACCCTACCGCAGTTCAGGTGCCATTTCTGGTCACAAAAGGAACGCCCATGGGCTGAGGCACCCTACCGCCATAGGCCCTGGCTGTAGGGTGTGCAACCCTACCGCTGGTCAGATGCCACTTCTGGTCACATAAACCAGTGCCTATGGGGTGAGGTATCCTAACGCCGCAGGCCCTGGCGGTAGGCTGTGTGCCCCTACCGGCACGTTGCCCGGTGGTAGGGCCTGATCATAGTGCTTTTTTTGCACATCACTTGTATTTTGTCTTCATTTTTTGCCAACACAATTTCATAGACTGAAAAACAATAAGCATAAGTATCACATATATGAAGAATAGCTCACGGGAAAATGGTTCAACTTAAAAATAATAGCAAGCACACATCCACAAATGATTCACGAAGTTTTACATAGCATGTTCAACAAATACGAAATAGTCTCACGAGTAAATGGTTTGCGACGCCAACATAAAATGTTGAACTAGTTCTTTGATCTCTTCACGTTGTTCATTACCTCCTTCCCCTCTTCGAGCTATGGTCCTCGTTGTTCTTTGGTCTCTTCTGAGCCGCCTTCTTCTTGCTGTCAGGAGGAAGCGGTTTCTGAAATGGGGATGGACTTGCCCAATCCCTTTTCGGCGCATTCCTCTTCTCAAGATGGGTTGTCTGGGTTGCTTGATGTCCGTCATTGTCGTCGTACTCCTCCTCCTCATCGCTCTCTTCCTCTTCTTCCCCATGTTCTTCTTTTGCTCCCTCCTCATCCTCTTCTTTGTCTTCACCTTCTTCGTCCTCGTCCTCCTCCTCGTCGTCTCGAACCACCCTAGAAGACGAGGCGGCCTGGCTCAATGAAGCGAGGCTACGCATCTGGGCTGTAGGAGCAAAATCATCAGCAGAGGAGGTAGCGCACCCAAGCAGGCTCACAAGCTTGCGACAATTGTTGACGAACTTTTGCATTGAGAACGAAACAATAACATAATATGGATCAAGTTTATGGTTAAAAACGAAAATGAACTCTATGTTACGTTCACCGTTCACCCCAACTTGTTCTCACTAGCCCGAGTCCCCGGGATAGAACTAAGCGCATCAGAGGCTTCAAAAATGCTTTTGTTCTGCTCCGGAAGACTGCAAAGCAATAAAATGAGTCACTCTCACTAAACTTGATAAAACAACTTACCACTATGTTAATGAGGGGTCCGTACTCCCTAAATCCGCCTTTAAGCTATCTGATGCTCTCATTGTAGGCTTCATTCTCGGAGGCGTCATCATACAGGTCTTCGACATCTGTTATCGCCCAATGGGGCCTCAGGCGCAGATGATGCTTGATGCCATCGTCGTACCACATCATGTGATCCTCGTAGTCATTCGAGTCCATCACTTTCCTCTCCACATCTTTGCGAGTTTCCCACTTGTTCCATTCCTGCACGTGTCTCGCATGTTGCTCTTCCCAATGTATGATGGACTGATTCTTCTGCCTGCTCATCTAAAACACCCTAAGAATGAATGTAAAACATCAAAACAAAAGTTGTTATCGATGAGATCGCCTAGTGGTACTCATAGGTGTAGGTCGTAACCGCCGGTATCGGTGACGATGCCGCTGGTGGTGTAGGCAAGGCGCTATGGCAAGTGGTACTCCACGGCATAGACACAAATCATGGGCACGATGCACCGTGAGAGAAGACGATCCTGCATACACACCGCGTTTAGCAAGAACGCCCACTCTCGTTCGTCATCATACGGCCGCCAATTAACCTAGTACTAAACAATGGTAAGCTCAAGTGAAGGTGTCGTCGAAACTATTCGAAATATAGTTCTTATACCTGGAAAACCGCCGGAGCATCAAGATCATTGCTGAAGACCTTGGATTTGCTCGTGTAGACACCCACCACGTCCAAAGCGTATGCACGGTCGGGTACCGATCATCTTTGTCATCTTCGCCATAGTGCGTCCATGCACACGAGCGTAGCTTCTCTGGATCGCCCACCAGGATTTGCTCCCACATCCAAATGGAGAGGCCCCACACACATCCACACATACCGGACGTATCTTCCACCCTCTGGGTCGCGTCGTCAAGCTACAAAACAAGTATAGATGATAATATGACATAATCTAAAGCAGCACATGTCCATCATATTTGAAACAAAGTGATATTCACTTACGGAACGGTATAGGTAGGCGAGGCCGGTGGCCCCCCAGCTATACCCCGCATCCGATCCTAGTCCTTTAAGAAGTTGAGATACATCCATAGGGCAGTGTCCCCAGAGCAGTCTAGAAACACTACCTCCGTGAGAAGATACCACAGATAGGCCCTGGCGTACTGCTCCACCGCCCGGGGTTCGGCACCTTCCGGGCACTTGCTCTGGTACTTGAGGAGCCAGGGCAGCGGTACGCCGGAAGTCCGGTTATTCTTAGTTGGGGGGGGGGGCTGTCGCCGATGAGGGCGATAATCCTATTGTGCTAGTTATTCTTCCTCTCCTCTCGTCCTGTGAGAGCACGACCCTCGAGCGGTAGGGCCGTAATCAACCCCCAATAATGGAGGGTCAAGGTCATCTCCCCACACGGAAGATGGAAGATGTGCGTCTCTGGCCACCACCGGTCAATCAAAGCCGTGATATCTGAGTGGACGAGCGTCGGCAACCTAAGCTTGAACTGCAGGACAAAACCCAATAGTCGGGCTCTCCTGTAGAACGGTGTGTACCACTCGTCGTACTCCATCTTAACGGTCGTCTTGTGAGCCCTCATCCGCAATGGAGGGAGCATCTGTGAAAATAAAGTTCCAAAGCATAATTAGCATATACATAATAATTAGGAACTTGTTATCATCAATTCGAAAATATTTGGTTTCAGAATGGTAACTACCACACCATTATCAATGAAACGGGCATGGTGACCATTGTTAAAGTTAGTGTCAACCATGGTATACTTAATTCCGATATCGCCCGCAAGAGGTCGCCTCCTAATTTTTTGTCCATAAACATAAGCATAAGCATATCAAAGAAAAATTAACATGAACTAGGGTTTATCATCAACTAGGAAACATATTCATCACACCCAAAAAAACCTATGAGTTGAATCTTTCAATAAGCATATGAAGATTTTTTTAAAAATGAACATAACTTGGGTTCATCAT